TTCGCACAGGCCCACCTCTCCGGCCTGTCAACCTCTCCCCGTACACGTCCCCATGCAAGTTATGCTGCCGTTTTGGCGATGTACATTTTGCACTCGCTGTCAGTGCCAAACTAGAAATTTACACTGTATCTTCAGCAGGTGCAAGAAGTTGTCTTGTGACCCACCGAGAGTAACAGTATTGGAGAGGGTGGTAACTGGTGCGTTCTAAATTCTCTTTATCCCTATTATCACACTTACATATAAAACTTGTTATTATAGCATCTTTCTTGTTTTCTGGCTTTGAAGCACTATCAAAAGTAAGTTATCATTTCACCCACATAAAAAGCACATGTGGACTTTCTCAGGAGCATAGGACAATTCAGCTCTCAGAGATGTCACTTTTTCCATCAAAACATGTCCTTCATTGTGCATGTGTAAAAATATTTGCACTACAGAGCCGGCATACCCTATTATTTTTTGGCATTAGCTGCAGTTGATCGATAGTTAATTAGGGAGATCTTCTTTTTCTGCCCCTTGATTGCAATTCTACTTTTCAAGGGCTTGTAAAATTAAGTGGCCTGTATAAATTACCAGGTAAGGTGGTTTTTTTTTTTTTCTCAGGTACAGACTTTGTTATCACAGATCTATGAATCCAAATTATGGAGAATATGCTATTGGCAGTCTTTACAGTGACGCTAAGTGGGCATAGAACATGAACTGCACTCCCTTTTCTAGAGTTAGCTTTTCCAAAATAGACCTGTGACAGCAGTCGACAATTAATAGTGCATTAAGAGACCATTTACCTGTGGGACTGCAAATTGTTTGGCTTCTTGCCCTGCATCCGCTCTTCTGTGGTGTCTCATCTAAGAATATCAGCAAAGTTTCTTTTGTAGTAATAATGTTGGAAAGGAGAATTTTTTTTTTTTAAATTTGTAGAGCCACCTATGGTAAATAAATTCTAAAAAGAAATGTCTAGCTTTCTAGGCACTTATTTGTTATCCCTCCTGGTATTCAGCTTGGTGCCTTCAGTCCTGCCTTGTTTCTCTGGGCAATCTGATACTCTGAAATGTGCTGTACGGCTCAGCAGAAAAAGGAATTTGCTTTGTCTAAGTCATTTAATAGCTTTTAAATCCCAGTGGATTACAAATTTGCAGGGTACTATATGCTGGCTGTATCTTGATCTCCAGGACTTAAAAGTGCTTTGAATTGTTTCTTAATAACTATGAATAGAACTGTTAGTTAAAGTCAAAGCAGTGAGAACAAGTGGTATTAAAATAAGAATAGAAGGACGGGGGTTAAATAAAATGTGGATTGTGGAAACTGTTAAAATTTGCAAGTGAAGTTTTGCAGTAGCTTTAATACAGTCACTTATGAATTGCATCACTGAAACATAGTAAATACTTCCTTAAGTAGCATCCCTGTAACCATGTTTAGTCCTAGGAAAATAAACCAGTTTGGAAGGCGCCAAGCTATGAAGTCATGTGCCAAAAGTCTGCTGTAATGTCCAGCAGCGATACTTTCTGTGAGGCACAAGACAACTGTCATAAGGGGATAGCACCATTTCATGACCTGATGCACTGGTAAAACAGAAAGCTATGAGAAACTAGTTTGGACAGAAGAACTAAATCTTTTATTCTAGATGCAGAGGATAATCTAAACTATCTACAGACAATCTAAATAAAGAATCCATGCACAGTAGAGTGCTTCTGCATAACTTAATTCATCTCATGAATGGAGGCTCTGTAGGTAATTGCAAGTTTATCCCCTTCAGAATGTTGGATGACAAATGTCAATGGCAAACCCTAATACTGCTGGAAACATTCTTATAACCTACAGATATAAAAAGGCAGCCCATAAAACAAGTGACTGTCATCAATTTATTTACTGAAAACAGCCTGACTGAGCAGTAGTTGCATTTTTTCCTTGTTTATATCATAGCAACATTGTCTGCTTAGTGTCTTCATAAAATGAGCAAGATTGAGAGAAAACAAGGTGTGCAGATCAGGAGGAAAAAAATGTTATATGGTGATTAGAGGATAGCGCTGAGAGTTGGAACATCCTGTATATGTTTTCAGTTTTTCTGCCAAGATTCAGTGATCTTCTGTGCCTCAGTTTGTCTCTCAGCAAATTCAGTGCCGTAAAAATGTCTATTTCCAAGAGAAACTATTTAAATTACTTGAAAACTTTGGGATCTTTGGATAAAACCTGTCTATGTTTTGTGTCTATCCGTGTGGCATCCAGTAAGTTGAATCAGCTGTTGTAGAGGTGAAGTAGAGGACCACAGTGAGATTAGAGAAGGACAAGATTCTAATTTGCTTTTTTATGTATATATGTATCTATATGCATATATGAGCTAAGAAGTGCCAGGTTCCATTTCTTCTTAAGCAACTAAGTGAGAAGTAGCTTTCTTCACAGTAGGAATCAGATTTGTGTTTTAAAACTGCTCGACTGGTGGGGTCATTGCCATTAAACTCTTAATTAAATGAAAAATGGGAAAAACTCATTTACTTGAGTGGTATAAGGTCAGAACATTCATGATAAATGTCTAAAAGAAGAGGTGGAAATGGCTGAGGTTTTTCTCCAAATTCCTCTTTGAGTTTAGAATGGTGTGCTTGGAACAGTTCTACAAACTGCAATTGCATCTGCAGATAAGCACATGTCCATCATTTAAGCTTTGCCAAATTGGCATGCAAGGTTCATGTGCGCTTACCCTTGAGTGCTTTCAGCTGTTTTTTCTATATTACGGTAATTTTGTTCCTTCCAAGGATGCTTGCTATAATTTTTAGTATTTGCAAATGACTTAATGTGGTGCTAAGCCTTTTTAGATACGTATCACTAGAACAAGATACTGCTTGAGGCAGACAAATTAGTCTTATAAACTAGATCCTAGCCCTATAATGATCCAAACCAAATACCATCCTAAGACTCCATCATGTTGAGCCCTGAGGGTTAAGGTGCCTAATCTCTGTGCTGTGATGCTTGACACACTCCATGTCTCCCATGAGCTCAGTAAAGCTGGTTACCTTAAAATCAGGAAAGTTTTACCTCCTTGAATGACTGCTTTTCAAGCTAACATCCCTTTATTAAAATAGATGAATTTGCAGAGATGCTTCAGCTGCAGTCATACTTATCTCCATCTGCACACAGAACAACTTTCTTATGCCTTTACCTGCAACTCGTCCTCTGCAGGTCAACAGGACCCCTGCCCAGAACCACTTCCAATACTGTCTTCTCTCTGCTCCTTTCTCTGGGCATCTAGAATGAGGGATTTCACTGCACAGCATCCCCATGTCCATAGCTCTTCTCTTTTTTCCCCTTTCAATTGGAAAGGAGAAGTTAGTAAAATTAAAGTTTTGCAAGCTGCTCCTTGTCACTGTGGGAGCTCTGAGAAAAGAGCCCAGCAAGCTGCACATAAATTTTTCACAAAAATTGAGTGAAACCCAACAACAATCAAAATGTTATTCTTTAACAGAAAGTTGCATTTTTAAGAATAGACTATTTTTGAAAATTCAATCCATATCTTCTTAAAGTACAAAAATCTATCCAGAATTTACAAGATTTAGTTGGAGGGAAAGTTTTTGCCTTCATCTACTGGCCTTTCTCATTCCGTTTCTGAGAGATCAGAAATCAAATAATCTAAAAAAACAGGCAAGAAAAAAAAAAAGGCCAAAGGAAATTTCATATTGACAATGGGGATTTAGGATATATTTGATTTTTTTAAACTATTTACATTAAATGTTTTTAAAACCGTGGTAATTTGAAATAGCAAAAGAAGAGGAATTTCAAATATCTGACAATTTTAAGTAGCTGAAGTCTAACTTACCAAAATGTTTGGCGTTGTTTTACATACCTAGAGATAAAATACCTGGTGAAATACCTAGTAAATAGACTACTAAATTTTATAGTAGCTTTTGATTTCATTCATACAAAAGGTAATGTGTGTATGACCTCTGTAGATCAATGGAGTTTGTTCTGCTTTTCATCTCTGCAAGTAAGAGCAGACTTGGTTATTTTCTATGGAGAGAGAAATGCGTATGGTTGCTTTTATGACTGTTTTTGCCCTGCAAACTTAAGTACCTGCATTTGTGTTTCACGAAGTTGTGGTACTTTCCTGAAAATTATGTAATACAGTTTAAAAATAAAACCCTTGGCAAGGCAGACCATATATGCAGGGTCTGCATGTGAAACTTCAGCCCTTGCATTATTGTAAACTTTCAAAATCCATTCTAATTGTCCATGTTTTCAAAAGACATTCTGCTTCTTAGTGTAGTTACAAGGAGGAGCAGATGCAATTTTGCTGGTATCCTTGCTTTATGAAGTCTCTGTTCAGTTACTTGATCCTGAAGGGCGGTCTCACAACTTCCTGCCTGTGAGAAATACATGTTACTTGTCCCTGGCATGGATAATCTGTATAAGTACTGTTTATCGTGGCGTGAATTCAGGTAGTAGAAGTTTTTATGTCTGTGCTTGCTGTTGCCTACATTTTACACACAGCTTCCTTTATACTATAACAATCTTTTTTTTTCAGGAAGAATGTGTAACGGATAAGTCCCAACATAAAATTATGTGCTTATAAAATATTAAGTGTAGTAATAACTATTAGACAAATTTTGCCTTTACATGTAGATCTTTTTTGGATAGCATTTACAAGCAGAATCTAGCACAATATTGCTTCTAATCAAGCAATTCTTTCTACCTTCATGAACATTTGAATTCGTCGATGTGGATAAAATGAATGGAGTTGGACATCCAAATTTCTAAGGCCTTAGTGAAAATCTCAGATGCAGTGTTTAGTCAGATGGCTTATCAGATGTTTTGGAAAATGCCTTGTTGATAAGTTGTTTGGGTTTTTTTAATTACTATTACAGACTTTTACAGCCTGGTGCAATTCCCACCTCAGGAAAGCAGGCACACAGATTGAGAATATTGAAGAGGACTTCAGAAATGGCCTCAAACTGATGCTCCTCTTGGAAGTTATCTCAGGTTGGTCAAAATAAAGTTTGTTTTGTATTTACAGCAAGCTAATGGAAACACTCTTAAAAGAAAAAAAATTGTTAACAATTCAAAACAGTGAACACAAACTCTAAGAAGGCTGAAAAGTTAGAGATGAAACACACTGTAAAACAAAAGAGGGGGAAAAAAGCTCTGGTTTTGCCTTATTTCCAAAGTCTTCTGGTTTGTGCTTCTGTTCCAGGACATCACAGTGTATTAGGGTATCACTGACATCACAGTGTTGTTGGACAAACCACAAACATTGAGGACCTGGTCTTAGCCCCTAACAATTAAAAAGCCTTTACAATTAGGTTACAAATTCATCTTATTCCACTTTTAGTATAGAAGTTTTGCTTTGCTATTAATGAGTTAATTGGATGGACCAATGCTTTCAAAAGTGAGTTCCTACAGTAAAATGAGATCAATATTTAGTCACAAGTAAAAGGTCTAATTTTTCGGAAGAGTGGAACATCCAAGAACTCCTTTTGACTAAGTGATGTAAACTCACTATGTCACCTATTTTATGTATTATTCAGAGGGGCAGTCCCCAAGGTACACTCAGAATGCCCCTGAATGGGAAGGGAATACCTCGAGTTACAGACACGTGATAAAGATGAAAAAGGGCAAGAAGTTTTTTAAGACATCCTTATGGAAAAGGCAGTTTACATTTTTGCTGGAGATTTCAGCGAAGAAAGAAGATCTTTGCATGATCACTCTTTGTGAAATGGTCATATTTTCAGAAATTCTTCTTCATGAACATTTGAAAAGATAAGTTCATTCAAACATATCAGCCTATGCTCTGAAATTAGCTGCTGTGCTGTACTGGATGAAGTTGTTAAAAGCCATTGTTCATGGTCAGATTTGGAAGGATGCTATGGCTGGATAGAGTCAGGCAGGAAAGGGTGATGAGCTCTGAGAACATCCTGCTGTCTTAATATTCAGCTACTCTAATGCAGACAGTAGCAATGAACCAGAAGTCGAGTAAGCAGGAAGCACTCACATATCTTCCAGATGTTTAGGGCAAACATAAAATTTTTACTCTCGTTTTTGGATCAGAAAGATCTAAGTCACATGTTTCAACATTTGAATTTTTGGGGTTTTGTTCAAAGCCATTTGACGTTCTTTCAGATAAATGCCTGTTAAAATAACTGCTAACTTTTAGGCAGTGTTCAGGGCACATTCACTCTTGAGTTCTAATTGCTTGGGTGTCTGTAGCCAGGAGTATGTAACAATAAACACATTAAATTTTTTATTCTGCAGGGGAAAGACTACCGAAACCAGACAGAGGGAAGATGCGCTTCCATAAAATCGCTAATGTCAACAAAGCTCTGGATTATATTGCCAGCAAAGGAGTGAAACTTGTGTCAATTGGTGCAGAAGGTATGTGACAGAGCTTGACAAAGGACTTTACTTGGATCCTAGGCATTCACATTGCAAAGTCTCATAGAAACCCTTGGCCAAATTGCGCTGGCTGTTCTCTGTATATGGGTACCTCAAAAATGCCTTAATATTGATTGCTGACCTATATCTGTGCAAGGACAAGAGGTGGAAATTTGTGGACACCTGGAGAGGGATAGGATTATAAATGGGCTCTAAGATTAGTTAATCTTCAAGGTTAAATTAAATTGCCTGTGTTTCAGTGTGTGTTCAGATAATGATTTCTTCTTCTGGAGCATTACATTTTTCCTATACATTATTACAAATAAGGAACTCCTTTAGAGATCAGGTTGGATTCTAGGGTGTCCTTTATCAATCTGGGATATTTTTTTATTTTTAGGAGATATTATTCAGACAAGACAAAGGCTGACATCACTACCAGGTGGCTGGGACCTAGTCCCATTTTGTTATGAGACTGACTGTACATGGCAGCTGTGTTTCTAAAATTCAGATGTAGAGTTAAAGGAGTGATCAGAAGAAATTATGGTAGCTGGGGAGAGGCTGAACATAGGAAGAAAGTGGGGCAGGATGTTGTTTACTGAAGTTATTACTTTGTTATTGTTCTGTTCTTCAGGTATTTAAAAACATGCAGTTGGCTAGCTAAATGCTGGTAGATGTAAACTCTGAGCAACAGAAGGCACGGTCTCACTGCAAGTGAACCTATGCCTCCTATGAGATTCAAATGATTGTTTAAAAAGGACAAAGGTCTGTCTAGAACTAGCTTCTCCATGGAGATACTTGCATAATGCTTTGCATAGCTATTACCATACAAAAGAGTGATGTGGCTAGCATGATACCCAACTACTTTTGATTCCATAGCCTCAATGACGTGCTTCCCATTCTTGGGGTAGCCTCTAACATGTCCTCAGAGCAAAACTCTGGCTGTAACCTCAGTATCATAGTGAGAAGCGCTAGCTATATTCTATTCACATTGCTAGGCCTTTTTAGATTGATTTATGAGCCTTCTCTTCCTGTCTTCTGATTTCTCAAGGCTTATATATGTACTTATTCTGCCTTCCAAACCTTGATCTCAGGGACCCCACTGTAATTGTGGCTGGAGCAGGAAGCTTCATTAGGTGAGACAGGGGCATCTGTAGAAGTAATGGAGAGATCTATCAGCATTCAGTGATTCCATAATGGTTTGAGCTAGCCTGCTTGGTTCCTCAAGTATTGTTCACCGAATATGTTCAGTTTCTAGATCTAGAACTCCAAAATCCCAAGAAATGGGTGTCCTCTGGGCAGAGCATTTTTTTGAACTCCCCTTCATTCATTTGAGACTGAACTGGGTGGGCCATCTGAGTCCAAATCTATAGCATCTATCTCTAGGCACATAACAGACTTTTTTTTTGGAATGTATCATCAGTGGGGAGAGATGGGCAATTCCCAAAGGCATGTCATATCTCAGAAGAGCAATACTGCATTTCAGAGGTGCCTGGCTCCCTCTGTCAGTTGTACAGGCAGTCAGGGGCAGCTGGGCCCTTTGCTCAATTAAGTGAAGTGGGATGGAAAAATGTGCCACTACCCTAAACCTCTGCAGTTAAGGTTATTCTGAGAGCGACATGGCATTGAATGGACAGCAGAGGGTACTGATGAGACAATTTATGTGTGGAAATGAAAATTAAGACTACAGAAGCCCGTTTGATAGCTGGTGCAGAAATATTGAGACTATGGAGTGTGGAGCAAATGCATGGTCGTTTCTGTCATGTCATGCTGGGACTCCAAGGCTTCCTGACAGAAAACAAGAGTGTAGCAAAAGGAGTATCTTGTGGGACAGAGTGGTTGTTATCTCTGATTACAGTTTGTGATCACAGTTTGTCCAATGTGCTAATGTTCTCACACCTAGGTTCTTCAAGCAAGGCTGGGGCATTTAAACTGAGATACATCAGCTCATATCTGCTCCAGGAGCAGGCCAGCCCTCTTCACTCCCATCTGCCTCATTTTGCCCTGCTTATTGCTGCTCATTACTGTCAGGGTACTCAGACTAGGGAGCAGTGCTTGAGTACTTTCTATACTAAGGCAAAGCATCTGGGATAGCTCAGAGCAGCCATTAAAACCATTTAAACTCACCTTGCTGTTCTCTTTGGCAGCCACTGGCATGAGCTTAGACGCTCTGTGATAATAGGTAATTCCCTCTGGGAGGGAGGCAGGAGCAAGAGGCAGTAACCTCTTCCAGCTTCTCAGCCAGTTGCTGCAAGATGATTTCTGTCCACGCACTCTATATTTCTTCTTGCATGTAACAGCAGGCAATAGTTAGTAAGCCAGGAGATTAAGGTGATGCTCTTTGCTGTGCTGTAGGCTTTTATTGCCTGTTTCTGGAATTCTCGAGCTGTAAAATGAGGAGATTAGAAGCAAAAAATAATTCATTAGCATTAAAGAAAACATTTTAAATTCTTGGATGGAAGCACAAGAGAAAAATCCACTGCTGCTGTCATAACTTACATGCAGAGAGGAACCTGTCATTGTAAGACATTGCACTATGTCAAGTATGGCTACTAACACACATTAGATTACATCCACGTGGGCAGGAGCAGATAGATTCGTGTGCCTTCCACTCCTACTCTAAACAGGCTGAACACAAAGCCGGCTCTGGTCCAGACATGCTTAGTGCCCTGTTAAGTTTACTGCATCCCCTCTACTAAATTTGTTATCTAAGGCACAGTGCCGTGCTGATGAAGTAATGCGGTATCACTGAGTATAGTTTCACAGTGTGGGACCTCTGGCATCAGTATGTGTTTAAAGAGTCTCTGTGCCCCCTTGTCCTGCATACTTGCTCCCACACTTCACAGTCCTACCCTATCATTTGGACTGACAACTGTTTCTGTAGCTATGCTGGAGACTGGATCAGCAATCTGAGCTGGTTTTAAAACACACTTTGCCTCTTTTTTTTTCTTTTGTTGCATTTTTCAGCATTGTTGACTGGGCAGTTATTTTAGTATGACGATGGAGTGAATGCCAGCAAGGAGGCAGAGCACAGGCTCCTTAAGCTTGTATTGTTATCAAAGTCCTTAACCCCTTAACTCACTGCCCCTATGTGTGAGCATGAGGCATATGGGCTTGTCTGCAACCATCTGTTTTGGCATTCTCTGAGTTACATGGATGCTTAGAATACTTTTTAATTTCCAAAGCACAAAAGTTTTGTATCTAAATCTGCTGAGGATCATGTTTTATTATCTGATATGCTGAGTGGTAAAGAGCACGTAGGCCCAGGGGACCAACTGGCATTTGTAATGGGGCCTCAAAACAAAGATTAAACTGTGATTCCTGTGGGACATCAATACAAAGTTCAATTTAGTGTTTTTGAGGGGCCAGGGATATTCTTTAAAGCCATCATTACTGTTCTGAGGCTGACTTCCTTGGGCTGTCTGTGGAGTGCGTAGAGAGAGGTGATCACCTTTAATTGTGATGCTGAGCAGGAGCCCAGTTTAGCTACTCTGATCTGTCTTGTGGAAGACTCTTTCTGTCCATTGGTGATGAAATGAGACCAGTCAAGAAGCTTAAAGCAAGAGCTGTGAAAGTAGTCCTTATGAGCCATTCACAGTCCAAGAGTTAGAAGTTTTCCCTTAAGTTTTAAAAAAGTGCAATAACTCCACTTGCAAGGTAATTGCATCCTGAATGAAATGAACTGAGATGTGGAGAAGCACAAAAGATAAGTATCCTGTTAATAGGAAACACTTCTGTATTGCTTTTCTGGGGAGCGGGAGAAATATTAAAGACCAAATGATCTGTGAATCTGCCACAAGAAGGTTAGAATAGAAAAAAATAAAATAAATAAAGCCAAAGGAGAATAAGCACCTTTGGGAACTTGCCACACTGCTTTGCTTAGCTTTTTCCCTAGGCCGATTTTGTTGTTTCCCCTTCCCTTTCCCTTCTTTCCTTTCCTGTCCTCATAGGTTAGCAAGACCTTTTTCCCCTGAAAGCTGTAGCGTATGTGAGATGTAGGGACTACATCCCTCCCAAAGCAAACATTGGCCTGTAGAGAAAAATCATAGGAATGAATCAGTATTTTTTTGTCACTGATACTTTTCAACTTTTAGCAACTTAATTTTCCTTTTGCTTAGATATTTTTCTTTGTCTTATATACATGTCTTTTTTGTAATTTATGTTAGCAGTAGATAATGAGAAACCAAAGCTGGAAAATTGCTTGAAAATTCTCCTGAGGGGCACAACATAGAAAATTCCCTCTCTTGCTCTTTCATTCTGTCTTTGTGTACATACGGATATGCAAATCAAAACAACGATGTAGTGATTATGCAAATCCATGAATTGATTGCTTCACAATCAGCAATGCCTCCTGAGTATTTAAATTCATTTATTTTACATTTGAAGAAATTCTTCCATACTGTGTATGCTATCAGACATGTGATCAAAATACAGTGATATATGTGACTGAGTAGGGGGGGAGAAGGAAGAAGTAGCTACATGCCCTAATTGCCATTTGGTCTTTTTTGGCTGAGTTTAGTTTTGAGATTTGAAGAGTTTTGAGGTCTTTCAGGGCCAATAAGATAGTAATAATGCATGGAAGGCAGGCAAAGTGAGATAATAATTTGGGAAAATTAGTGTAAAACTGAAAGGAGAAAGCAGAAAAGTAGTCATTCATATATAAACTTGGATTATCATACTAGAAAAGTAAGTATAGACTAGTGATGGGCGACATATCTCCTACCACATTTGTTAATTCCATAGGTTCAAATGACAGCTTGTGTCACATACTACTGCAATTTAACATGTATCTCAAGTCTCAGAGCTAGCAGCTGCTTTGTTCTGTAAAAGTTGCCCCTGGATTCAGGCAACTTCTAAGCAGCAGAGCGACTGCATTTTCTGCTGGCACCTCTGTTGGCATTTGACATTAAATTGAGGAAATTCCTCCAGCTGCATATTCCTCCTGCTCCTTCCCCAGAACACCAGTGGGCCCCGAGGCAGCCATGGCTGCTCCACTTTTTGAAGAAGGCTGGAGGTGACTTTCAAGCAGGGGAGCAGCTGGTGCCTTCCCTGCTTCACTGCTCTGGTGGTGTGAGGTGACTGGAAAGGCAGTTCACATCCCCATCTCTCATTGTCTCACCTCCTCCCCTTCCAGTGCTAGACCCTCCTTGTAGTCTCACTATGTTCTTCTGAGTCTCTCACTATAGCTTTCAGATTGATTTAACATTATCACCACACTTAAGTGATCTGACAGTACATTTTTGGTCTTGAGAAATTCAAGCGGTATCACTGTTTGTATTATAATGTAGGAGCACTGGATTCTGACTTGGTTTGGGGAAGGGCCTGCCACGTATGTGTGAGAAGGGTTGGAGAAAGCATCTTTCTAGTGCCCTGTGTTGTAGGTAGACTCAAGCAGTCTTGAAACAAATTGAAACCCCAGAGGTAAAAAAAATCCTGTTTTATATTAAAGATACACAAATGTGCATAGGCATCAGAACTGTAAGACATTACAGCTTTGTGGCCATGTTTCTGAACTGTTTGACAGGAAGCTATGTAGCTTAGTCTCAGGAGGTGCTGTGTCTCTTGAGCTGTTCTTCATATCTAGTCTGTCTTGGCAGTATAGGTAAAATTCTCAAAAAGGTCTAAATAGTATAGGGGGATTTCTGAGTACCACTTTATTAAAAAATAATACTGTTTATGTCCTGTAGTTTCTTAAAATTTGGAGTAAGACCATATTTTTTTCTGTTCCTTTGTATTTGAAAACAGTAGGGCTGATATTGTTCAAACTTTAAGTATTTCCCCTTTGGCTCTCTCTAAAAAAAAGTCAGCCTAAAAGGTAAAGATTTGAGACAGTTACAACTACCTGGAGAGAAGTCTTTTAGAATGGAAGGGCTGAAGCGATCTTCAACGCAGTAATCCTCAGTCCTACTGCCAGGGTAGCACAAGCATGAGTTTGTTGAAAAATGAACCCAGATGAACTCTGTGTAGATAAAGAGTTATGGTAGAAATATAAAAAAAAATTAAATACAATATAGCATTTACAGAAATACATGATTAAAATAAGAGAAAAAGGAAAATACATTCTAAATACTACTACTATCTCTTTTTTCACCTTAGAAATTGTTGATGGCAATGTGAAAATGACGCTGGGTATGATCTGGACTATCATCCTTCGTTTTGCTATTCAGGATATTTCAGTGGAAGGTAATACTAATACAACTATATTAAATAACTAGGAAATTTTTATATGAATTGTGCACAAGTGAAATGAGTGTTTTAAAAATGAATTATTTTTTCACAGAAAATGATACTGCAAGTTTCCTACGTGGTGAAAATTGATTTCTGGAGGGAAAAAGTAATTACTCTCCTTATCCTGAAAGGGACCTCGAGCCAGCTTTCTAAATGCAGAAGTTCTGGTTGTGTGTCTCAGTTATAGAGATAGAAACATGCCTGTGTTTCTGAGCTTCAGTGGCCTGAAACTGTGCTGTACCCTGTATGGTGGTCCTGTTTCCAACATACTTTTTCAGTCTTCACTGTTTCTCACATTTTTTGCAAATATTATCTGGTTATATCCCTCTTCTTTCTGTCACTTTTTTCCCCACACTGCTTCAGGGTTTTTTTCCTTAACTTTCACTTGGTAACTGGCTCCAAAAAGTGTGTCGTAGTTACAATACTCTTGAAATCAAGTCTATGCTGTGAAAAGTCTAGAATTCTAGAAACTAATCTCAATTTCCAACAAAAGTAGTCAATTCAAGCTCCGTATGCTGTCCTGTCTGTAATTTGTGGGCCATTAAATGTCGACCTAATGGTCTATTCAAGCATATTTTGTGTAGGCACCAACACAGTCTTTTATGTCTAGTTCTATTATATTTGTATTGGGTATTGTTCTCCAAACATACATTCTGCTGTCCAACCAATATAATTTCTTAAACTTCTAATATACCAGAATTATTGTGCAGACTGAGACTCTAGTCTGAGTTGTTTCAGTTGAGCTGACCTCTGTGTCCTAAAGGAACCCTATTAGTCCATTTGTATGGGTATCTTTTAGGATTAAATATTGGCTTATGTCAACCAGTTTCAGGTGGCTGACCACATTTAAGATGATAAGAAATGAGTTAGTTACTTTTAAGCACTTTTTACATTTTTCCGTTTTTTTACTCCCTGGTGTTTTTTACAGAGACCTCTGCCAAAGAAGGGCTGCTGCTGTGGTGTCAAAGAAAAACTGCTCCTTACAGAAATGTGAACATTCAGAACTTCCATCTTAGGTAAACTTCCATTATTTCAAGGGGTAGAAACAGTCTAAAATATTTTAGGTCAACTTTTTCCCACAGTTGTGTAGGTATGTATTTGACAGGAGAATTTCACTCTTCACTGTTAATTAGACTTTTTTCAAATTCTCATACTTTATCTTCAGAATCTTATTTTGGTTAGCATTTGGCATTATTTACCATGGCTTCCATCATTACTATTTAAAAGAAAAAAAATCCCTACTGTATACAAAATGATGTAGAATAATACTGCATATTACATTATTAGAGATCCTTGGTATATGGGAATCTGAGTACTGCAGCATAGTGACCTGGGAAATGACTGCTTTCATATGAGAGCCACTATAGGTATAGACTGTTCTGGCAAAAATACCAATGTGTTGAGCATGCAAATATCTCATTATGATGAATCAGTCTTTATTATTTTGTAACGTAACTATAAATAAGGAACTAAAAATGCACTCAGTACACAAAGCCAGCACTTTAAACATGTTTGTTTTCAGAATCAGGATTATTACCTAAGTTGGAAAATTTAGTGAAGCTCCGTCCTTGTGGTTCTGTGTTTTCATTAAGGGCTAGAAAGGGAGTTCCGGGCTGTATGCAGCTGCCTGGTTTTGGGATCTCACTGGGCTAGTTCCTGTAGCTCTGCTGGTGACCCACCTCATTAAACTACATGACTTGCCATTTGCACTGCTTAACTATGTGATCTTGCCTTCCATGAAACCCTTTATAGTACTTACAACAAGAGCTCTGTATTATAGTGTTTCGGTGTTTCAAATTCATTCTTAATGTGCAGTACTTAAAGCACAGGTAGTGCTGGAGAAGATACAGTTCACGCATGCATCCGCAGATAAAAAGAATTTGTTTAATTTACAGTCCCTGTATTGCCTTTAAGAGATCTGAAATTTATTATGAGTTATTTTCCTTGCAAATAGAGAGTTATATTTCAGGAGAGCTTTATATGGATGCAGGGTATACTCTAAATTACATTATCAGAATCTTAGTGTTTATAAATATATATGCTAGTCTGATTCATGGTATCGGGAAAACATCTCAAATGGAAGTACCTTGATTAGTGTTTGGGTTGAGCAGCTCTTACAAAACTACTTTTCCATGGGATATCCAGACCATATTAGTCTCTACCTTTTGGAAAAAAGCTTTTTGTTCTTTTGGTGCTCATTTTGGTTCAGTTTTACCTTCTTGTTGATTTTATATTATACAGTGTATGTATAGTCTGCTTAATTGTATGACATCTTTATTGGAGATGGTTCTGTTATTTGAAGGATCTACCCAGACATCTCAGTGACAGGGATTCTAACAGTCTTAACATATTTAGTATCACACAATTATTGCACAGGATAAGACCTCAAACCCACAGTCCCAGTGATTGCATAAAGTGTTTACATAAAGTACCTTTCAGAATAATTGCTTCTGGCTGAAAGGAACCTCTCATAATCTTTCCAAATAGATGTTATTTGTAGCTCCGTTCATTGTCTATTTTTCCCTTGAAAGGTAGTGGCCCTGATGTCACACTGAAGTGTCAGAGCTCAGATTGAAGCTGTCATATGTGTGAAGTGTTTAAAATTAAACTAAGCTGATTTATGACTTCATACTTCTATGAGCATAACATGGTTGTGCCATTAAAATTGTCTGAAATAACTGACACAGAAAAAGCCAATTGCTTCAGCACATTCAAGTAATTGCAGGTTTGGTCTTCTTTTATTTTTTTGCAAACCTGCTGTAAGCGTAGTAGGAGATTATGCACTTTCATTGATGACTGTGTACTCTGAGCTATCCTGGAACACTGCACAAATTAAGCAATTGAAATCAGGGACTGTTGCACATAATGATGTACACTGCCTAGAAAGTATTATAGAGTCCTTAAGTGTACAGACTGTAGAATAAGATACGTACTATAGGAAAAAGAGTGCAGTAGCAGAAAATCTCAGAGGGATGAGATTTGCCAGAACATAAGTGTCAGGATTTGACAGGAGAGTTCCTGCTTGATTTTAAGCCTTGAGCAAGGATCGAACTGTAAAATGCCATGACTTTATTAACCATTTTTTTCCATTCTATTTTTTGTTGTAAAGCTGGAAAGATGGCCTTGGATTATGTGCACTTATCCACAGACACCGACCTGATCTTATTGACTACTCCAAGCTAAATAAGGTCATCAGTCTGGGTGGTACGGCATGCTGTCCTGCAGTGATTTGGCTCACTTCTGGTTTGCTTAGCATGTTTTCTAAAACACAAGCTGAGGAGTGCATACTAATTCTGACTGGCTTTCTAAGCTCCCTCCAAAAAAACCCAGTGACACAGAGGAGAGGACCCCATGACTGTCCTGTGTCCTTCTTTCCTTCCCATTACAATGACCAGCATTTAATTGCAAATAATCTGGTCCTCAGCTGCTAGGCAGTTGATGAAGTCTTTTACGCTGCCCAATATGAACTCTCCATTCACCACTGATAGCATTGTACAGTCCATCCTGTCTTGTATCTGGTGTAAATTACTGTAGGTTGCAGAGCAGTAAACAGTGACATGATGATTAATCCTAAGATTCCTTAGAATAAGCACGACCCTTGGTAATCAGGAGTACACAATAAGTTACTAGTCTAACATAGAAAATATTCACCAATTCTTAGATTATACTTCCACCTACACTTCCAGACAAGTGGAAACCAAACTGGTATCATAAGTTCCTTAGGTATTACGTCACGGAGATTACAAAACTATTTTATTACATTGTGCTACTTATGGCAAAATGCAGATTTTCTAAAAGATAGGATCCACTTTGATTTGAGAGGTAAGAATAAGGAGCAAGTAATAATGTCAGAATTTCTAGGTACCATTACCAAAGAAAAAAACTCTAGAAAGAAAGTGGGATGTTGTTGTTTCACATTAGCTCTCAATACATATGTACCATTTTCTGCTCTCTGGAGTGAATGCATCTTGAGGTCTCACGTAAACACCAGTAAAACAGAAAACTTAGTCATGGTTTTAATTTGTTGAATGTGATTTTTCATTGATGAGAGAGACTGGTAACTCATAGACTATATTTTCCATTCCATGCCCTTCCATTACAAATTGATTTTACTAGTGGAATCAACTGTTATCAGAAAGTCTTTGATGAGGGAAAAGATGAATGAATGAAATGAAGTTACTTGAAAACTTAGTCTACTTTATATATATGCTAAAATTCATGCTGGGGTCCCAAAGGTGTGCAATGATGAAAATTAAATTAACTTATTCTAAACACATAAGATTTTCATTTAGGCAGTTGTTAAGACAACTGCAGATCTGAACCAAAGGGCAAAATATTAGCCATCAACACCAGTTTGCTCTCTAATTCTATATACAATCTTTCCTATGGATAAACAGATTCATGGAATGACTAAGCTACCTGTCTCTGTGTACATGTGCTTAAGCATGGCACAAACAGAAGTGAGTTTGAGTTTGTGCTTTGAAAACTGGTACACAGTACTAAAAAACTTCACAGTATAACCATCCTATATATGAGTGCTGAGAAAAGGGAATAGAAGATAAGCAGATCTGCTTCAGCATTACTATTTCCCTCTTAGAGGTTTCCAAAATAAGAACAGGTCAGGTTTCAAACTGAGGCTGAGCTGTGGCATGTAAAGCACATGCAGAAAAATCCTAAAATAGATCTTGCTTTTCTGACCTGGCTGCATTTGATTGACTGCTCATTTTGGTTACATTAACAGCTGTCTCGGTGTCTTGTTTCTTGGTTTCTTATCTCCTGCATGCTGTCCTTTCTTTTTCTCACCGATGTGTTTTGTGTGAACTTGTAGCTGGAAAGATGGCCTTGCTTTCAACGCTCTTATCCATAGACACAGGCCTGATCTTCTTGACTATGACAAGTTAGATGAGGTATTTCTTTAGCTATTGCAGAGATTTTTAGTTACTATGGCTTGTAGATTTGTTTAAAAGGATGGGTGATGGAGATCTCCAATTATTCAGAAGTTGCTGTGATTTCAAACTAATGTTTTACCAGTGGAGCACTTTTTACTCATGGACTTAGTACCAAGCACGTAAATAGGAGATGCTCATCACCCATCCATAAGTAAAGTGTTTTAACTTAATCAATAGGTCTCACTTAGATGTAGTGTATTTTTGTCCCATTTAATTTTGGTAAGCATTTTTGTATACACATCTAGCAAATGTTGTATTACACATGGTGTTTTGTGTAATAGCAAAAATAAGTTAATGTGTTTTAAATAGTGTCCACATTTTAAGGTCCTCTTAATGTCAGTGCTGCACAAAACTGCTAAATGATGATAGAGTGAGAACTTATGGTTAGAGACACTTGTATTGTGTTATACCCAAATTGTTAGGTTTCAAAATGTAAAGTCTTCTTCATAACACATTTTATTGAACATGTAGTTTTTAAAGGAAGGGCTATCTAGTATGAGTTGTTTATAGAAAGAAGTGTTGTGGCCGTTACTACTTATTATACTTGGCATATGTGTGTGCATGAGGAATGGACTTCTGTGAAACTTAAATAATTGCTGTGATTCCATAGTAAGCAATCTTACTAAGTTCATTTCTAAGTAACAGGAAGCATGCTTCAGACTAGATCCCTTTATAGGAAGTGTTTGTATTCAAATGGAAGCCCTGGAAATTCCCTACAGAAAACCTGTTAACATTTTTTAAGTGCCCTCCGGCATCTCTAACTTTCCTCTTTTGTATCCTATTTTTCCAACCTCTCTCTGTAGACAGTGGTATAGTTCACACTGGGTGTGATCATTTAGCAGTTTGTGAATATGTGAAAATAATAATAGCATTAATGACATGAACTGCCATTTCACGTAGGGTGTTTTCACTCCAAGCTGATACAGGAAGACTGCCTTAAGAGGAGCCCTAATCTGACACACTCTTCTGTTGTCAGCCATAGATGTCTGTACTGTAAGACATGAAATGTGTGCTGTTTATCTGAACTGTGCTCACTGCTTCCTTTCTCTTTCCTTCAACAACCAAAATCAAAATATCAAAACCAGAGGAAGTTCTTGAATTTCTGCAGCTCTAAAATTCACTTTATAGAGGCGTTACAGATTTCTCTGTCCAAGCCAGAACTGGGAAGTTTTGCTCCTTCTAGAGGACTGTTCTTCTGTCTGTGCTTGCTTCTTCTCAAGCATGTACTGACCAACAGGGAACTCAGTAGAATTCTTATCACTGAAATATAATGTATAGTAGGAATGAAACATGCAGGACTAACTTTGTGATGAACTGTCTAGTATAGCCTACTGGACCAGTGGCCTTGACTGAATATATTACTGCTGTATTTCATTCAGGATTAGCTCAGAATTATGAGTTTATACTGCATACATTATCTATGTTCCCCTCCAGAACATATTTGCAGTAGAGTCCTAGTGGTACCTAATAGCTTATTAATGTTTTCTTTTGAAAGTATAGCAGTAGATAGACCAAGAGTTCATATACCAATACTCTGCTTTTTGAAGAACAATAGTTTACAGTTTGGAAAAATAGAATAAGTTTTAGTGTACCTACTGTAGTCTTGCTTCAAGGAAAAACTTCTATCTTTGACTAGTTGTATTTTTTTCTTTAATGCAGGATGACCCCATAGGAAATATCAACCTTGCCATGGAAATTGCTGAAAAGCATTTGGATATCCCTAAGATGTTGGATGCAGAAGGTGAGAGTTATAGCTTACTGAAGTTTGTGTTGCAAGCAGGAGACAGTGAAACTTCTTTTGTTTTGTACCTACCAAATTTTCAACGTTCCTTCCACGTGAACCATAATGGAGCAACCTATTTTATTTTCAAACAATGTTTTCCTTCTTATTCTACATGTATTGGATAATTTCACTTACTTTTTTGCTTTATTCCTTATTGTTTTTTATTTTTTGTATTTATTATAGTACTTTGGACCCTAACCTCAGCACATGGCCCCACTGTGATAACTGAGGTAAAATGCAGGATCAAAAGATAATCCTTGCCTTTAAGAAACTGAAATCTAAGTCTAATAAAGGGAAATAAAACTGTGAGCAGCTTAAAGCTTATTCAATTTTTTTAAACGTTGAAGTGAAAGGGCCAGAAATAGAAATACAGAACTTTAAAAATATACTAACAACATGCCTCCTGTAAAAGAGGGCTAGGTTGAGGGAAGCATTTTTTTGGTTTATTTTAGTTGTAAACCTTTTGCAGTGATAGTTTTAATGAATAGTTTCATGTATGGTTTCTCCAATAATCTTTAGAGTTTGTTGACAAATAACGAGGAACTATATACTAAAGTTTCCTGAGTTTCATCAAGATAATCAAACTTTTCTACTCCAGGCAAAAAATGGTGCCAAAATACTGGGATTTGCCTACACTAGTTCAAAGCATTCTTCTCCAGTATGCAGACTCTACTCCGGTGGCTTGTCAGTAGAGCAGTGATAACACGGGAATTAGCCAGAGGACTCAAACTCACTGTGTCTGCTCCCCTTGAAGTCTTTGGTAGAAAAGTTAGGCCAATACAAGATGATTTGGAAAATTCAGGTTGTAACCTCTTCATTGAACAGGTTTCTTGGTTTTACCTTCATGCTTCAAAACTAATTGTTTTCATTTTTGAATTGCAATTCCCCTTTCAAGTACCGTTTAATTATTTTACTCTGAAATACTGTGCAAGCAATAAACAGAAGTGCTACATCCTTACCATTGAACAGATCCTACTATCGTTCTCCTTTCCTCATTTTTTCTCTTCACATACAATGTAAGAAATCTTTTTTTTTTTTCCTCCCCAGATTTTCTGCACATTCTAGCCTTTATCATACTATTCCCCTTCTTGGCAGGGGAGGGGGAAATGAAATCATGCTGCTTCTATCACCCTCTAAGTATTCACCATCACTTTTTACTCTCTTCACTTCCACTGTGTTCTCAGTGGAAACTTAGCAAGTTTGGTTCACAACTATGTGATATAGATGCAAAATCAGTAAATACATTGGCCCTGAACTTAGAAATCTCACTGTTAATATTAGAAATTGTCACCTCATTCTTGGGTCTTTTCATACCAGTATCTTCCCACACCTTACATTGGCAGGAATCCTTGCAGCTTGCACTAGCATCATTCATCACTCAGCCATAATCGGTGTAAACCCACCTTTTTCTGCCATTCTCTGTTAAAAGGTCCATTTTTACCAATGTACCCATACCTTGATTGCACCCTTTCTATACTTTTACTCTTTCCTGCTGTAATAGGGACAAAGCTATCAGCCAGCCAAGCCAAACTCTTCTGTGATTTATGCTGTTAACTAAAAAGACAGACTGGCACAGGGATTGCAAAACTGTTACTATTCAAGCTTTTCTTAGCACAAAATGTATTTCTGGCCTGCAGGAGTTCTACTGGTTTCCAATGTGTGTCAATACTCTGTCAGTCACGGAGATCCTGTGCTAATATACACTGTATGCACTCCTATTTTGTGACTGTCGGTGGCCGTGTTTAGCTCTGTAGTACTTCTAGTGATTTATATGAAGTTGCTTTGGAGCGACAGTGAAGCTGAACCTGGTAGATCTGCCAGCCATGCCATCTGCTTGGAAGTTTCCACAAACCAGAAGGTAGCACTACCCTTCTGTACAGTCTCAGCCTTCAGATGTTTTGCCATTTCAGGGACAGTTGTATTTTTTCCATTTACTGATTCCTAAAGCTTAGGTAGCTTTGCACTGATATCAGTAAACAGATGCAATCTGAATAATGGTACATTTATTTTGAATCCTTACAACACTGAGGTGACATCATCAGCATAATCTGATGGAAATACCTTGTGAGAATTTCTGAGCAGTTAACCCTCTTCTCTCTACACAGATGTAGTAAACACTGCCAGACCTGATGAAAGAGCCATTATGACTTATGTTTCCTGTTACTACCATGCATTTGCTGGTGCTCAGAAGGTGAGATTGTAGAAGATGGATCAGATCTCATCCTTCACCTTCTGTCTTGTTTCTTTCAGCAGTTTTTCCTCTTCTGATCTTTTCCTCACTAGTTACTAGGACAGCGTCTTAGAGCTGAGCTCATTTCCTGTTGCCTGATATTCTCTGTGAACCACTGTCTTGGTAGAGCCAGTAGCAGTCTATCCATTTGTTCCATAGAAACAAACCTTCCTGTCTCATCTTTCTGTTCATTTACTAATAATATCCAGTAGGTTTTTGACAGCTGATTACTGAATGGGATAGAGGATGTTATTCTCTTTAATTGAACTTGTGTGCATTCATTTGAAGCACCTTTAAAAATGCAAGATGAAAATAAGCTTATAGTGAAAAAACAATTTCGATAGCAGAATGCCTTATTTTTTCTCCCTGCTGGATATTGTTCCTGCTGCAGATGTCAAAATCATCATAACAGATGCTCAGAAAATAAACCCTTCTCTTATGCTTTCAGGATTGTTTTTAAAATGTTAAATGCTTAATGGTAAGTACAAACAGCAACATAAGACGTTGCTACTTTGCAAAATATACACAGAAACATGCACAGACATCTCAGAAGAGCTCTGGAATCATGACCTAATGAAAAGGAAAATTTTAAAAAGCAAGGCAGTTCAGAGTTGGACGTACTTCAGGTATAAGTAATATAAAGAACACTGATATATAATGCTAAGGTTCTAATTAATCCACATGCAACTTCCAGAGAACATCTCCCCAAATCAAATGTAGTGTGTCTTTCCTGTGTCTTAGTCATATTCCCCCAAATTCCACCTCTTTGTAAGAGCTTATATTGAATTTCTAGTGTATGTTTTATTCTCTCAGCACCCATCAATCTAACACTAAATTTATTACAGCTTTGTAGAGATTCTAGAGTACAGAGCTATGGACAAGAAAACAATCAGAATGACACTATGTTGTGCTTTTATTTATTCATCCTGTTTTGTACTCCTCGATTCTTTTTTTTTTTTGTTTTGTTTTCATTTCTTCCCCCCCCCGCCTAGATATTGTGAACACTCCTAAACCCGATGAGAGAGCTATCATGACGTATGTGTCCTGCTTCTACCATGCTTTTGCTGGAGCAGAGCAGGTATTAATCAACTGTCCCTTCAGGTTGCTGTGTTTTTGATTGGTTGTTTCACATTTCCACTAGTTTATTAAAAAAAACAACTAATTTAGTACTTTGTGGTTTTAATTAACAATTGCAAGTATTACTTGAGCACTAATACTTTTTTTTAACCAACACTTGAATCTATTTTAGTTAAATGTTGTGTAGCAAGTTGAACTTCTTTAATTCCAATGGACATTCCTGTTTCTAATTTTGGGTCTTTATTTGGTGATTAAAAAGACTGTTTCAGAAAAACTGTATTTGAAGATACTGTGAAATGGAGTTGTTGTTTGTTGTTACATCAACATCTTCTGCATTTGCTACATAAAAGAATGTTTGACTTTTAGAGATTGAGACTATTCTAGACTTGCTCATACTGACTAGTAATTTAGGGCTAGATTTTCAAAGATGCCTAAAGATGCAGAAAGGCACAGAAGACATCCAACACCGTATTTGTGCCTGGTTGCCACTGAAGCCAACGGAATTAGTTGTGGATCAAAGTTCTATTATGAGAGGCAAGAACATCAGCGTCAGATCTGTCATACAGGATGGGATTCTCACTTACAGTTGTGGCATTTCCCACTGTTCTGCTTCATACATTTCTAGCCTACAAATGGACATAACCCAACTTACATGAAAAAAATAATAAAGAACCCTTAAAGTAGTTGATAGTTGTCCTTCATCCTCAGGATTTAATTTCCCTTCCTGTCTGGCAGGCCTCCTACTCCTTATCAGAACACAGCTGTTGCACCCTCTTGCTTCTGGGTATGAAGAGTTTGCTATTCATGCAAAGGGAGCATTCCACATACTCTGTGTCTACACAGATATTTATGTGATTAGATATACTCCAGACTCACATTTGTATGAAAGTATAGCTCTGTTATGTCAAACTATTAATGTAAATTTTAAATATAGCAGAGCTACACAGTGCCTTCACAAATGAATTTGGCAGGAGGCATGAGAAGATTTGCTGTCAGTGGTTGAGCTGCATATATTGTCAAAGGTATATGTACATATGATGTGCAGATATAGAGTGGTCTGGGACTCCTGAATCATATGGGGTGTCTTTCCAGTGTGGCTAACAAATGTAATACTTGTTTGGTGTGATTTAAAAAAATTAACCTAATAGGATAACTTTAACAATGACCTGAGTTGTCTTTGAAAATAAAAGATTTATTAGACAACTATAATGGCAGTGTGAAATTCCCCCTTGTATAATAAGGCTTCATTGTACAACAAGGTGACTTCTGTACTGATCTGTGCCTTATTGAGGCCATTGCAATCTGTGACTGCAGAAGAAGGGTAAATATATATGGAAGTAACCTAGGACCACAAATCAACAACTATAAAACAATGTGATTTTTATTTGCAGCAGCCACATTCTCTCTCTTTGTCCAAGGCTGTACCTTTCTCAGAATGCATTTATGAATATGTCTTGTTTATTTGCTGTGTTTTACAGGCTGAGACTGCAGCTAACCGGATCTGTAAGGTGCTTGCTGTGAATCAGGAAAATGAGAGGTTGATGGAAGAGTATGAGAGACTAGCAAGTGAGGTAAAGACAGCTGTATTTGTAGCATGGTGACAATTATGTTCATGAAGTACTGAAAGCTGAAAGATTCATGCCCGGTCTGCAAGATAGCAAAGTGAAGACACTATGAGGGTAAATCTCGCTGTGGTAGGGTACAAAGCTCAGTTTCCCAAGACAACAAGATTCATGTGACTCCTTTGCCACAGACTTCCTGTGTGACCTCCAGCAAGTCACTCAGTCTTATTAATATGCCAAAAAGGGTGTTCTGAGGACTGTCATCGGTCTGCCCCAAGGCCAGGCGTACTGTCTCTGTAATCTCCAAAGATCGCCATCCTTGACCACATGAGGAACTTGCAGGATCCTGTCACTCCAAGCAAGCCTGTTGGCTTTGTGTACCACACCTGGACAGGCTTTCTCAGGGTGTTCACAATACACCTGTGAACACAGGCAGCAAGCGAATGAAGAAGAGGGCACATTGTGCTCCTCCTGTGCTTTCTTGGTAAATGGCAAATTTGTTGAGTCAGGACTACAGATGTGTAGTGCACAAGTGAGAGCTCCCTTGTCTTTGGTGCATAACCTGCAAAAACATACTGAGATCATAGACACAAAACCAGTAGTGCTGCATTGGCACTGATGGACTTCTGAGTGAAGATTTTTATATTACCTGAGTTACTTGGCTGGTGTCTGTCTTCATCTCACAACTATGACTACTTGAAACATCAAGACCAATACTTTTGAAAGTGTCAAGTGATTTTGGGTAACTCAGGTTTTGAGTAATTAGCTAGAGACACCTTATATGTATGTTCACCTTTCTGAACATCAGGGTATTTCTAGAAATACCTAGAATATCTGGGTAAATTAGTAAAAAAAGTATTGTTCAGCTTTGAAAATCTTGTGCTTACTTGCAATTAAGGCACTGATACCAACTGAAGTCAATAATATTAAAATGGAGCAAACTTGATTAGGATTTGTGCATTCAATATAATCTTTTTTTTTTTTTTTTTTTTTTTTGGATTGCTTTCCCATTGCCCTCATTTCAATTGTTTGTGTTGGTTTGAAAGCTTTTAGAATGGATTCGCCGGACAATTCCTTGGCTGGAAAACAGGACCCCAGAAAAAACAATGCAGGCCATGCAGAAGAAATTAGAGGATTTCCGGGACTACCGCCGCAAACACAAACCTCCCAAAGTCCAAGAGAAATGTCAACTGGAGATCAATTTCAACACCCTGCAGACAAAACTCAGAATCAGCAATCGGCCAGCTTTCATGCCATCAGAGGGAAAAATGGTTTCAGTAAGTAAAGGAGGCATGAATAATCTGTTCTCCTTTTTATCAAGGTTCTCACAAAAATTTCAGTGATGTGAAGGATTAAAATGCCATTTTAAGTCATCCTCAGACACTTCAGTTTGTTGCACTTTACAAATATCAAACAACTCTTTGTACATGATCCCTTTCACACTGGAATCTTGCTTTCTCTTAATCATGCTCCTGCCTCTTTGAAGGCTTTTCCCAAAAGCAAATTGTCTTGAGACGCAAGACGATACAGAGCTTCCTTTGGGAGTGTTATCAATACTTCTCTATCAGTGAGGCCAAATATTATTTATTTAAGCAAAACTCACAGTTATTTCACTGACATTTTGGTCATCAGACTTACAGAAACAGACATCGCTCAATGTGTATTTCTGCTTTTTTCTACTTTTTAAAATTAAATTTTGTTTTTCCTTATGCCTGTGAAGATAAGAATATTCAGTACCAAGAATTCTTATCTGCTGATAAGTATTGTGAGTTGACTGTGGGTCAAAATGTTTCCTGTGGAATATAGCAAATCTGTTTCTGTACTCTGTTCTATCATTGTGTTTTGGTTGCTCAGATTTGATAAATAGACGATTGCATTATGTGAAAAGGGTCATTGTCCACTCCCCATACACAGAAAATAAGGGGCCTGTCACTTCAGTTTCTGACTCATGCCTTTGAGTTTCCAAACTTTGTGCACCACAGAAAGTGAAATGAGTTTGTATTCCAGATAAAATAAGCACCAAATCCTCTTAACACTAATAATTTTGCTATTGTCAACTTCCGAGACAAAGCACTTTTATTTTGATAAAAGAGGTATGTTATAACAGAACATGCATGCACATTGTGAAATGGGAGGTAAAAACAATATATTGTGAAGACACTGAACATATAGCTATGCTTGGAAGCAATTTGTATAGAGGTTCCTTTCATGAACCCACCTGAACAGGGCACACTATTAGGAGCAGATGTCCGGACTACAAGACTTCTTGAGCTGCTTGACAACATTTTCTATGGTTCTGTGATTTTACAGAACCTGGACATAAAAAGTTCTCTTTTTTGGAGCAGAATTGTGAATGAATCAGAAATCTGCAAATTTGGATAAAAAGAGATTAGAGTTTCATCCCCTCTCTCTCCCATGTATTCTCTTCACAGGATATTGCCGGTGCTTGGCAGAGACTTGAACAAGCTGAGAAAGGCTATGAAGAATGGCTCCTGAATGAAATACGAAGACTGGAAAGACTTGAACACTTGGCTGAGAAATTCAGGCAGAAGGCTTCCACTCATGAACAGTGGGCATATGGTGAGCAGAAATGTTTTTTAACATTTTTAATATTTTAATGTTCAAGGTTGTTCTGTCAGTGCTGAATATTTGCCAGCCAGAAACTCACTTATAAGTAGTTTGGACAGTTTTAGAAACCTAAAATAACAACATAAAATTGCAGGTTTTGTTGACTATAGTAATGATCCTTACTTGTAGGCATGTGTCTAATGAAATGTAACTGTAAAAATCACACTCTTGAGGTAGTGAATCAAACATAATGAGAATATTCAGCATTTGAATAGAGGCCATTACTGCTGATGCATTCCTATGTGCACCAGCAATCCAACCAGGAATGAGTGACACCACTGGTTAAGTGTGAAATTATTAACAGACTTATCCTGAGTTGATTATCATTTGGTCATCATGATGTTTTGAATAGTCCACGTAAACTACATAACAGACTCATTTCAGCTTTGCTCCATACCCGATGTTTTGAATAGTCCACGTAAACTACATGATAACAGACTCATTTCAGCTTTGCTCCATACCCCAGATTACACCCCATTTGTAGTTCTGTTTTTGAATGGTAACCTAACCTTACATGTACTTGTAACAGCTATAGGACCATACACTGGCATACAGTTTTGTTGGGGACCATTAAACATAGATCTGCTCTATCACCCTATTGTTTGCCCTTACAGCAGTCTTCCTGCTTCTGCTATGCTTCTGGCTTTTTCCAGTTAGAATCTTTTCACACTGTGACAGTAAACCAGAGTCCACCCCATAACACAGTTGCTGGAAGCATACAAGGCTGTAAATGGCTGCCAGGCAGAAACTAGAAGGGAAACAGGGACAGGTGACACTACAGTTGGGGGTCTGCTACAGGCCACCAGACCAGGAAGACCGAGTGGGTGAGGCCCTCTATAGACAGATAGGCGTAGCCTCGTGTTCACAAGCCCTGGTCCTCATGGGGGACATCAGCCACCCCGATATCTGTTGGAGGGACAACACAGTAGGGCATAAGCAATCCAGGAGGTTCCTGGAATGTATTGATGATAACCTCCTTCTCCAAGTGATAGAGGAGCCAATGAGGAGAGGTGCCATGCTGGACCTTGTTCTTATCAACAAGGAAGGGCTGGTGGGGAATGCAAAGCTCAAGGGCAGCCTTGTCTGCAGTGACCACGAAATGGTGCAGTTCGGGATCCTTAGGGCAGCGAGGAGGGAGAACAGCAAGCTCACTACCGTGGACTTCAGCAGAGCAGACTTTGGCCTCTTCAAGGACCTGCTTGGTAGTGTACCATGGGACAAAGCCCTGGAGGGAAGAGGGGCCCAAGACAGCTGCTTAGTATTCAAGGATCACCTCCAAGCTCAGGAATGATGCATCCCAACAAAGAGGAAGTCAGGCAAAAACACCAGGAGGCCTGCATGGATGAACAAGGAGCTGCTGGGCAATCTCAAACACAAAAAGGAAGCCTACAGAGGGTGGAAGCAAAGGCAGGTAGCCTGGGAGGAATACAGAGAAACTGTCCAAGCAGCCAGGGATCAGGTTAGGAAAGCTAAAGTCCTGATAGAATAAAATCTGGCCAGGGACATCAAGGGCAACAAGAAAAGTTTCTATAGGTACATCAGCAATAAAAGGAAGACTAGGGAAAATGTGGGCCCTCTCCAGAATATGGAGAAGGCTGACAAACTTAATGACTCCTTTGCCTCGGTCTTGATTGGCAAGTGCTCTAGCCACACCACCCCGGTCACAGAAAGCAAAGGCAGGGACTGGGACAACGAAGAACTGCCCACTGTAGGAGAAGACCATGTAAGACCATGGGACCTGATGAGATGCATCCGCGGGTCCTGAGGGAACTGGTGGATGAAGTTGCTAAAACACTATCCATCCCACTTGAGAAGACCTGGCAGTCCAGTGAAGTTCCCACTGA